GGGTTTTCAAAGTTTTTATGATTTTTTTTATATTTATTATATTTTCTTATATGTATATTTATGTATTTATTATTATATTTATTCTTTAGTAATGTTACAAATTTTATATTAATTTAGGTTATCTCCAATACAATATATAAATAATTAATAGTTAATAACCCACTACTCTAAAATAAAATAAAATAAAATTAATAATTCATAATAAATGCTTATCTTTTATGTTCATATGGTAATACTATTTGTTTTAGTTGCGAGATTTAATGTCATGAGAAATATAATTAAAATTTTTTTTTTGAAAAAAACTATATCCCAATATAGATAGTGCTTAACTACGCCATCATTATGGTAAACTAATATATTTTTAAATTATATATAAGTAACGGTCAGTACAAACTCAGCACCTGAAGATTTCGTTTGACATAAAAATCACGCGAACAGTGAGGGATAATATGTAATTAATATATATATATATATATATATATATATATATATATATTAAATAAATATACATACTATCTCAGACCTCTAGCATGACTTGACTTCGAGGCGTCGATGAGGTAGTTAGGAAAACCATTGTTAACTATTGCTTGTTTTGCATTGTTAAAGCATAGTAGACGAGAGGATGAATTCTCGTGTGCTTCCTTTAGAAATTTTTTTTATAACTGTTATTTTGTATCTAAGTGGGAGTTAAGGTAGCAAGAGTTTCTGCTAGAGTTTTTTTTATATACGATGAGGTAGTGAAAGTGTTTTTACTGTATTCTACGAGAACGTCTAAGAATGGGAGACTATTTTTTTGACTTAGTTCGAAGGTAAAATTAAGGAGAGAGATCTTTTCAAATGTGGTTTTGAGATTATCTATTTCTCGTGCGTGTGCTTTTTGTGTGCAGATGGAAGCGCATTTCAGTAATGTTCTCCCGTTAAATTGTGAGGCACCTACAACATTATAGCAATTCATATATCCAACTGGTTTCACATGATTAACAACATTCATATGAGTTATGTGGAATATCTCTTTGATGGCTTGTGCCTGTGGACTGAGGTATTTTAAATTAATTTAATTAACTTTCGATTTTGTCATCATCAAAGAGATTGGGCCATCTTGAACATTCTCAGACTTCCAGATTAAAATTTCCATTTCAAAATCTCACGAAGTACTTACAAATGTTACCCACAGTTATGTGCCATGGGTGATACACGTTTAGGTGATACAAGGCAAATTCTTCCCACAGTAGGTTGCCATTTCTTTTTGCGGTAGACCAGTTGCCATCCAAAGTTATAGACCTCGGTCTGTCCTGCTATTTACACATAGCTGGGGAGGGGAGAAGACAAGGATTCATACCTTTCCCAACAGTATTACCACATAAGTGAATGTAATAGATTCAACTAGTATTCGAAATCGGCTCTCAGATTCCTCAATCCGAGCCACTCTCCATTAATCTACCATACCTACAAGTTATGCTATCAACAAATGGCACCTATTATTTGTACGATTTTTGTACGATTTTTTCTTTGTTTCCAGAAATAAAAGAGCATCAAATGATGAAAATGCATCTCATTTACCTTTATTTTCACATTTTTAACATATAGATATTTAAAATTCACAACCCGCACACAATTTCTACAGAAAAACATTGATTAATCTTTTATCTTCTTCCTTTTCTTCTTTTTTTTTGGTTTATCAACTTTTTAAAGTCATTCAATGCTGAAACATTTCGGGTTGTAAGACTAATTTTTTTTTTTTTGCCAGGGAATATTGGAATAACGTTTTTTTTTTTAAAAACAACGATTATTTTTTTCACGTCCTAATATATATTTAATCCATATCTGGTGAGAGGAGATCGATTAAGAGTTTCCCAAGGTTATTTGCGCAAAAGTGAATGTAACGAACCTTACTTCCTATCTCTGAGACGCAATACTATATGTCTTGGATGTACGAGTGGTGCACCACCCACAGATCCAAGATATGTTGAGATATCCTCCCCGTTCAGAACACACACACACACACACACACACACACACACACACACACAACACACACAAACACACACACACACACACACATACATATATATATATATATATATATATGTGTGTGTGTGTGTGTATATATATCTTCATAAATTTCAATCAGATATGAGACGAATTTACATGTATTTAAATACCAAACTCTACAACCAACATTTTGCTGCAAGCGAATATATATATATATATATATATATATATATATATATATATATATATATATATAGTTATGTCCAGAAAAGAAAACACTTATGCTTAATCGCAGTTCTTTATAAAATGCCGGTAATGAAACTTTAATATATATATATATATATATATATATATATATATATATATATATATATATATATACGTATATATATATATACGTATACATGTGTGTATGTGATATAAAATATAGTTTTATGGTATGCTATATTTCTGTGTTAAAATGCTGAATATTAGAGTTAGAGCATATGTAAAAATAAAAGTGAACATTAAAATCAACTCCCGGAGTCGACAGTTAGGACCATCCTGCTTAGCATGAAACAGACTGTTGCCTCTGGGTGTTGATTTCACTGTCCACTTGTGTATATATATATTTCTCCATGTTGGCCGAAAGTAATCGAGGAATCTGAAATTATAAAAACGAAAGAATATTAATACACAACCCAGTGTGTCTAAAGATTGTAATTTTTTATATTTCAAAACATATATATATATATATATATATATATATATATATATATATATATATATATATATATATACAGTAGCGTCCAAAACTGATGTTTACATTGTTTTCTCAATTTTGTCCTTACTTTTGGACGTTCCAAATTTGAAAATAAATAAATAATTGTTATAATTCTTTTCTATCCTTTGCAAATGATTCAAATTTTAGTATGTCATTATGGATGATAACCACTACCAGTTGTCAAAATTTCAGCTTTTCACAATTGTTATTTCTAACAAATATTAGGTTTTAAAATTTTGTCCCTTAGTTTTGGACGCTACTGTATATATATGGCCTTGTATAACTCCATTTGCATTTTGAGGCACAACTTATAAATTGTTTGTTTCCGGTGTTGACTGCAGTTAAACTAAAACCGCAGAATGTTCAACTTTTGATAAGAGGGAACCACTGCATATAAATTATAGCAAAGACCGCAGAGAAAATAAAATAAAATAAATACTCAAACCCAAATAAAAACAGAATTTCAAATTCTGTTATTTATTTATTCATTTTAATTTAATGGTGTAATGCACTTTCCTTCAATACATAATTTTCTGACATTTGTCTTGGTGTTGCAGGAAATGAAACTTCTTAAATAGCATCTGGTAACGTGGCTCAACGCATAGATACTTACCTATTTCCCAGTAGGGCCAGATATCGGCATTAAAAATCGAATTGAACAACAGTAGTTCGAATCCTGATTTCCTTCGTATGTAACCATTCTCTCCATATTTGAATGATTGGCATCACATCGACTTTTGCCCCCTCATTTTTATAAACCCAGTTTTTCCGTCATATTAAGAAAATTGTGCATCTTCTGAAGGAGCACGACATGTTTTTAAATGTCGTCCTCCTTCATAAGATGCACAAGCATGGTTCACCTCAACTTCCTGTAGTTTGTATCTCTTAGCCATATTATCTCTCACATTCCTTGTACTGTCATGAATTTACTCAAGTAGGTTGGGGATTCATCCTACCCTCCTTCCTTGTACATGTCCTGTGAGTGCTAACTTCTCCAAGTCGTCTTTCCTCAATGCCTATTCCAGAAATTTCAGCCATCTTTTCTTGACCGAAAGCACAAATTGCCTTTTCCTTCACATTTTTCTTAAAATCTCCTCGTTAATCACATGTTTCCTTCATGGTATTCCCAGCATTCTTCAGTAGTGCAACATCTCTTTTGCCTGCAGTCTTCTCTTCATCTTTGGGGAAATTGTCTAACTTATTTTACTACCATATAGAAAAATTTATATTATATAAAATTACAGCAATTTTGTCATTGTTTATAACGAGCGTTTCCTATTTCAGTGTGTACTTCGGATTTCGGTGTCAATTTGAGTGTTCTTTTGACAAGATTAGAAAATATAAAAAAAAGAAATAATGACTGAAAAGGAAAAGAAATATTTGACTCAAAGGAGTACAAAAGACGTTCATAAGAATGGAGGTTGAAGAGAGTGAGGGAGAGAGAGAGAGAGAGAGAGAGAAAGATTAATATAAAACAAGAAAACAACAGTTTGAGAAAGAGAGAGAGAGAAGATCAATAGAAAGCAGGAAAGACATTACAGTTCAAGAGAGAGAGAGAGTAAGAAAGAGAGAGAAAAGATGAAGAGAAAAAGTTAGAGACAGAGAGAGAGAGAGAGGGGGGGTGAATAAAAACCATGAAAGACGAATATTTGAGAGAGAGAGGGAAAGAGAGAATATGGAAAGACAGAACAGTTTGTGAGAGAAAGAGAGAAAGAAAAGATTAATAGGAAATAAGAAAAAAGTTGGAGAGAGAGAAAATTTGAATAAAAACAGGAATGACAAAAAGTTTGAGTGAGGGAGAAAGAAAGAAAGGTTAATGCAAACAAGACAGAAAAATCTGGAATTGTGAAAGAAAGAAAATACAAATCATTTGAATAGAATCAAATAATGTCGTGCAAGAGTAAGTATAATGGAGAACTAAAGAGATGGTTCGAGAATTGTCGTGGGAAAAAAAAAGAGTCAGTGTCAAATCATGAATTGTGATCAAGAATCAATGACAGTTTTGAAGACATGTGAGAAGTTGAAACATAAATAGAAAGACAATTCAGTTGCAAAAGCTCCGTTGATATCGTTGCTTCCGGCATAGATTGTCTGTTTGTTCCCGTTCCTCACTTCAAGTATAATGTTATTAAGAAAGTATGATATTAATTTGTACTTTGTTTTTGTTGCATCTTTCTGTCTTGAAGCGTATTTGTCTCTAGCCAACTATCAATTAAAATACGCTCACTCAATGTCTACTTGACTCATGATTTTTCCTTCTCTTACTCATTTTTTTTGTCACTTCTTTCCTTCGTCTCGACTATTCGTTTATGTTTTTGAATTGACGTTTCTTCTTTTTATTTGTTTTCATTTTTTTTATTTTATTTCAGTTTTCCTCTCTTTTTTTTCTTTTCACTTTTCCTTTTTATTATATTCTTTTTCTCTCTCTCTAAACTCTTTGTTTTCATTTTTTTTTTGTTTTATGGTGCTCTCTATCTTTCTTATTTTTGCCGCTTGGTCTCTTCTTTCTTTCTTTCTTTCTTTCTTTCTTTCCTTTTGTCTGTCTATTTTCTTATTTTATTTCTGTCTTATTTTAGTTCTTTTTCTTTCCTTCTATTTTTGCTTTTTCATTTTTCTGTTTTTCTTTTCATTTTGCTAGCGTTTTGTTTGTTATTTTCTTTCTTTCATACGTTTTTTCTTTTTTGTTCTTTCACCTGTCCAACAGTTTTTTTTTCTTTTTCTCTTTCTTTGTCTTCATATTTTCTTAATTTATTTTTTGTTTTGTTTTCATTTTCTTCCCTTCTTTCATGTGGTCGTCGTTTTTTTTAACTTTTCTGTCCTTCTTTCTTTCTTTCTTTCTTTCTTTATTTATTTATTTATTATTCCTTCCTCCTTCCCTCCTTTCTTCTTTCTTTCTTTTTTCATTTTTTCCTATCTCTTTATGAGTCTAAAGTTACCTTTTTTTTTCTTTTTATATATTTCTTTATTTGTATCTGTATGTTTTTCTGTTATTCTGTCTTCCTTCTTGCTTCCATTTTCTTTCTTTCTTCTTTTATTCAACAATCTCGCTTTATATTACTTCGTTCACTCCTTCTTTAACACTTTCGAATCGGGACGTCAGAATTAAACGTAGAATAGGAGGCGGCATATTAATTTTTGAAAGCCTCCCATCGAAAAAAAAAGGTACTAAAAACGATCTATAATTCATAAATAAAGAGTAAAATGCAAGGGAAGAGAGCAAAAACATTCTGACGATGGTTGAGGGTTTGCAGCAGTCACGACAACCACAAAGCAGCAAATGACACCAAGAAGATGTCAACTTTTTTCATGTCTTCATTTTAATTCTGGCGAAATAAGTTTCGTTTGTGGCTTATGAAATGTGTCTCTACTTCTCCTTCCTGACACCGTGAAATAAATTAACTATTCAAATTAAACCACAAGCAGAAAATTGTCTTCCTACATGATTCTGTGGTTAGCGCCTTTTCTGACAGCCCACCGTCCGGGGATTAAAATCAATTTTATTGTTTTGAAGAGCCTTAGGAAAGTAAAGACCGGGATATTTTCTTAATAAATTGCTAAGACTTCATTTAACTATTGACAAAATACTGAACCTTTTTTTTTATGAAATTTTAAAACCTAAACCTATTAAGTAAATGATTCTTATATACTTGTTTCAAGTTTTGAAATTAGTGTTAACATTCACTTCGAACCTGGCTACCCGCTCAAACATATATAGCCTTGTATCAGATTAAACTAAAGCTTAGTAAATACATCAGGTACCTCACTCTGTAGAGAAATAATTAGCAAGATAGTTTTACAAAAGTTACATTCGTAGCAAGTTCAAGCATAACTCGATCCTCTCGTCTTGATACATGCGAAACAAAGCTAATTGTCTCGCCATGGAGTAGTTCTCGTCAATTTTGCCGACAGTTACGAATGAAGCAAATTAAAATCTTAGTTAGTGTCACGCACCTGTTATTTCTTATATGTATATTCACCCAATATAAGGCCCAAGAGCCGCTCTAGTTAGAAGCTCACTTTATGGCGTGGTATGATAAAGGGCAAGAAGTGAAGTTTATGGTGCTATGCAGGGAAAAAAACAGATTAACCAACACCTTGAAGAGGTGAAGATTGTAGTGATTGGGTTTGGTTTGGTTTATTTTTTAATGGTATATCAACCACAATGATTTTTAATGCCAAGAAGATTTTTAGGATAAGTTTATATGAATAGTATATGTATTTTGTGTAAGAAATCAGTTTGTAGATCAAGTTTCATTAAACTATTTTTGTAAAGAAGTCTTTTGTCGATAGACAAATGTATTGCTGGTAATAGTTTTTCTTAAAAAATATATTGCTGGTATTTTTACTATAAAATTTATTTTTATAATTTCATAGTGCTTTGGCCCCAGTTTTGGGGGTTAACTATTTGCCCATAGCTGGAACTTTAACATGTGCTACCACCCGGGTCAGTGTGGACCGGGGAACAACAGCAATTAAGAGGTGGTTTCATGTTACTCAAAACCTCCCAATCAGAGACCTTGCTGCCGGAAGTAGTTTATCGTCGTACTCAGGAGGGTAGTCATTGCGAAAACAATCTTTCGGGTGTCTGTTCCATAAGGCAGCTGTTCTTGGGTAAAAGCTGTCCCAATATGACTTACTTACTTCTTACTATAGAAATACGAAGGAAATGAAGAGGATTCACTCTGTTGTACTTGGCAAAGCGGATCCCAGTTGTAAAGGTTGGACAAAAGAATGTAGCTCGTCAGAACATGAGCCATGGAAAGAGTAATAGAGTAGAGAAAGGCTCGCGATGTTTCGGCCAAGGAAAGGGCTAGCAGGGAGGAAAATATTTCATCACCCACAAGGCCGCGGAGACGGTTTTGAACTTTATCAAGAGAGGCAAGTTAGGACTGGGTAGCTCCAGCCAGATATGACAGGAATTCTCTATTTTTGGTTTGATCATTCTCTTGTAAAAATAAAGTATAGTATGGATGCCATGTACTTACTGGAGTGGTACAACGAACCAACTATTGGTGATATAATGGTTGGGAGTTCAATCCCTGTGTCGGGTAGTGTGTACTTGCACCCAGTGGAAACGGGCGAGCAATAACTGAGCAGTACTAAATAAATATAAGAACTAGGCAATATCCCTAGATATGAGCAGTTGAACGGGAAAAGTCTACTCCCGTAGATTGAATAAAAGGTTCAGTTCAGAATTGTCTGTAGGTTACTTAGATCGATATACACCTGAGGAAGTCTTTAGGGTACAGTGGTCGAAACGTTGTGATAACAACAACAAAGATGAGGAAGATAATCCAAATATAAATAGTGTAAATAAAGAATCAACCATTTTTCATAATCTAGGTACCACAGAACGAAAGCTATTTTAATAATATTTACTAGCATATTACAATCCGATCCAATAATTTACGCTTTCCCTCTTGCGAATTTTTCAAACTATTACATTGCATTGTATTGATGTACGAAATAATGTACCAATTAAAATAATAATAATGTACCAATTAAAATAATAAGTTGGATACTTGGTCAGCATGCGGTTGTTAACAAGATGCGCATTACTGCGTTTATGAGTTCGATTCTTACTATAGGAGGCTTGTTTAGCGAATGTTGCAGGCAGATCTAAGTTTAACATGTCGCAGGAAAACGTCACACTTGGATTCCGTTTTGTCTGCAAATGAAAGAATAAAAATCTGAAGATTTTTTAATTAACTTAAAATGAATCGTTTGTGCCTAATTTCCGGATATGAAGAGCAAAATTCTTGCAATGGGACAATAAAATCACATTCTTGGAGATTCTGCATTTCTCAGCGGTAATTCGAAAAATGGGTTTTTTTTACATGTCTAGAATGACATCGAAAACATTAATAAATACATTTATTTAGAATTAAAATATTTATAGAAGGTACCTATACAGATTGCTCATTAAACATCCTTATATTGATTTTCCAAGCGTAGCTCAGATGTGGCACAAGGTCGAAAGTATGGGGTATCCAGTGAGGATCGAACTCACTACTCAGTCGCAATAGTTCTGAGCGAGACAAGCTTGCTAACCATTACACCACCTAGAGGTACCCCAAAACACCCTTATATCAGTTGTCTTTAAGTCATGTTAGTTCAGTATTTCATTAAAGAACCCAAACTTTAACTGAGGTACTAAGTTCTTCCGACATACCTCCATATTCCACACAAAATTCTGCTGAGAAATTAGGTTTTATGTATTTACAAATTTCTCTGTGTAATGGTTATTTCACGGCAACCTTGAAATCATTTCTTTTTTATCTGACATCAGATTTATATTTTTTTTACAATGGTCGAAACAAATAGTATTTTTTTTAATCAATCTACCCCAAGTAAGGCGATAATACTACTATAGATCTACTGGAAGAGAAAAACAATGCAATGCAATTTTACTGATGGCCAAAACGGAATATACATGAAAACTGGAAGGCATCATTAAAAATGTTAGTTTTAATAAAGAAAGATCCTATAATGAAAACAGAACGAAAACAGTCGCAGATCCTAACCGAGAACAAGGGCCACTTCCTACATAAGACATACAGGCAGTTGTTACAGACGTTACAGCAAGCTAGCCAACAGCCTTTGTCAGCTTGTAGTATCATGAAATTGTTATTCCTCTGTAGGGTTTTGATTGCCAACCTCTCCTGTTTTGTGATGTTTGATTTGGGCGGCTTGGTTTTCTCCAGTATCTGTCTTACTTTCTATCTTAAATATTGAAATAATTAATAGAAAACATCACTGGAAAATACGAAAACTTAAGGAATCAGCGCATATGCTAATCCACAAAAATCTGCTAAGCCGGCCAAGCATAGAAATGAATACAATATGGGAACCTGTAATAAGGATGGCTAGAGAAAAACAATAACAAATAAATGAAACTCTGGTAAAAAAAATAATAACTGAGACATTAGGTTTATAACCCCCCAAAAAAAAAAAATCATCCACTAATGGACACATGGCCCAGTGGATAAAAGCGTTGCTTGGAGCCAATAGCTTGACCCAAAGAGTTTTCGAGTTCATTTCCTGGTTACATTTGAGTTTAACAGAACTTGGAGAGTTAAAGGGAGACAACTGGTACTGAGAAACTTGAAAGCTGCATGGCACAGGGCACATGGAACTAGAACAATCTACCCATGAGGACGAAATAAAGTGTTAAACTCGTGATTCCAGTCACCTGAAGAAGGCCGGAGCATACAACGGCCGAAACGCCGTGAATATAGTAACGAAGATGCTGACAACAGTACAAATAGATGAGGACAACAGTTCAAATATATTTTTTCTTCAATGGACAAGGTAATCCGCACTGAAATTGTTGAAGATTTAAAAAAAATATGTATTTTAAAGTTTTTATTGCTTCAACCGAAAATCGTTCTAAGCCGGGAGATACTGGACTGTCTTTACGTTTATCATTTTTCCTTTTAGTCTCCCTACCAAAAAGAAATAAAAATGGTTTTAAATTGCGAGTAGTTTCTAAGAACTTCTTTATTTCTTGTTTAAATCCAATCACACAATCTATCACGCAAAAAAAAAAAAAAATAATTATTTCTTTTACCCGTTTTTGAAAATGTGGTATCTTCGAAGTTTATGAATTCGATAAACCTGACATTGTATTTTATCATCGCTAAGAAAATTGACGCTTCGTACGTCTCTTCCTTCTTCTACATTCGACCTTTCTCTATCAGCAATACGATCTTAGATTCGACACCTCGATTCTATTATTTGCTAACAGGAGTGAGCTTTTAATTCATGAATATTGCTACTGGGGCTAATCAGCTAACTCAAGTTGTAGTGAGCAAAATGCAAGTATGGAATGTCCCGTTCAGGCGTTACAGAAACCGAAGGCTTAGGCTACGATTCACAAAGTGGGCGGTACGACTTCCCGGGAGGCAGCGGAAAGATCCATTGGGCGATGAGAAAAATAGGGTTGGTAAGGGTCCAGTTAGAAAAAATGGGTAGTAGTAGAGTAGAATGATATTAAAACCAAGTATTACTTAATGAATATGAATACTTTGCTAAAAGTAAATTCAACAGTTATACACGAATGTGTAGTTTTGTTCTATTTTGTTGTACGAAGATAAATGTCCAGTT